TTTATATATAAACATATAGAAATATAGAAATATATATTAAAATATATGTTATTTATATAGAAATATAGAAATATAGAAATAAATATAGAAAAACAGAAATATATACATATAAAAATATAAAAATATAAAATTATATCTTATATATATAATTAAAATAGTTTATACATATAAAATATATAATGTATAATTTAACATACATTATATTATAATGTATATTAAATTATACCTATTATGGAGTGTATTATGTATATATTATGTAGATTTTATTATATATTATATTTAATATACTATTCTATATTCCATATGTTATATATATGATATATATCATACATTATATATATAATATATATTACACATTGTATAATATACATTAGGCTGGGGGTCCATAGGTGTGTTCAGGCCCTCTCTGCCTGTATATCCCGAATGTATCAATATATAAATTAAATTCTGTGTTCTATGTGGGTACAGGCTGTCCCTGCACGCACAGCTCCTCTGTGTGTGCATCAAAGTTTTTCTGTGTTTCTGCATACACGTATAAATATATATTAAAAATATATATCTCTCTCTATCTCTATCTCTATCTCTATCTCTATCTCTATCTCTATCTCTATCTCTATCTCTATCTCTATCTCTATCTCTATCATCTCTATCTCTATCTATATTTATATCTATATCTCTATCTATATCTATATCATGTCTCTATATCTATATAACTATGTATCTATATATCTATATCTATATCTATATCTATATATATATAGATATAGATAGATATATAGATAGATAGATAGATAGATAGATAGATTAGATAGATAGATAGATAGATAGATAGATAGATAGATAGATAGATAGATAGATATCTTTTTTTTTTTTCTGTGTGCATATGGGTGTATATTTGTGTGTGTGTCACACAGTGTGTGTGCATCTCTCCTGCACACCTTTTTTGGGGTGAAGGGTGTGAAATCCTTGTGAGTGCCAGTACATTTGTGTGGGGTTTTCTCTCTATTTTTTTTTTTTTCTGAGTGCATTTATATTCTTATATTTTATTTATATTTATATTTATATTTATATTTATATTTATAGTCATAGTCATAGTCATAGTCATAGTCATAGTCATAGTCATAGTCATAGTCATATACAAACATATTTATATTTACAAATAAATATATATTTTATAAATATAAATATAAATATATTTTATATAACTATATATTTTTTTATATTTTGTGTGTGTGTGTTTGTGTTTATTCATTTTTATATATTCCTGTGTGTTTATGCCTGCGGATGTTGCGTGTGTGTGTGTGCATATTGAGTTTGCATGTGGGTGTGCTTATTTTTTAGGGATGGAATATATATATATAAATCAAAATATAGATAGGTGCAGATAGAAATAGATATATAGATATTATAGATATAGATATAGATATAGATATAGATAAATAGATAAATTATTTGTATATATAGATAGAAATAGAAATAGAAATAGATATAGATAAATACAGATACAAATAAAAATAGATAGATACAGATAAAAATGTAAATATATAGATATATGTAGATGGAAATAGATATAGATAGATATAGATACAGATAGATATAGATATATAGAGAGATGATAGATGTAGATAAAAATAGAAATAGATATGGATAGATGTAGATAAAAATAGAAATAGATATAGATAAATATAGATAAAAATAAAAATTTATATAGATACATACATATAAAAATATGACTAGATAGAAATAGAAATAGGTATAGATGGATCTGTGTACAGATATAGATAGAAATATAGATATAGAAATATAGATTGATATAGATAAAAACGGAAATAGATACATGTAGAAATAACTATAGATATAGACAGAGATAAATAGAAATAGATATATAGATATCTTTGATATATATATAGATAGATATAAATATATAGCTATATAATTATAGATATATAGCCATAGATACAGATATAGATACAGATATATAAATATCCAGATAGAGACACAGAGATGATCTAGAGATATCAACGTCCAGATAAAAATGTATAGATACTCTGTAGGCATGGAGATATAGAGACATTTATAGATACAGAGATTAAACCCACAGAGAAATCGAATAATAGGAATTGATAGATGATAGATAGATATGGATGGATGGATGATGGATGGATGGATGGATGGATGGATGATGGATGGATGGATGGATGATGGATGGATGGATGGATGGATGGATGGATGGATGGATGGATGGATGGATGGATGG